TTTTTTTTTTTTTTTTTTTTTTTTTTTTTTTTTTTTTTTTTTTTTTTTTTTTAAATTTCTATTGGATACTTCAATCTTGAAAAGAAATAACTTATTCTTACAGATAGACAGGTAGGCAGGTTGTATAAGAGTTATAAAACATTTTTTTAAAACATTTTTTTTTTTTTTTCGAAATGAGCAACACATAGATAAATCAGTTACCTCCTGGAATAAAAGAAAATCCAAATGGTAGAAAATGTAACCCAAATAGAAGCGAATACTTTCCAATGTCGTCTCGACGTATATCAAGTACTGTAACACTTATGACACCACGACACTGAACTTCATCGGTGTAGTCGAATTTGACTGAATACTTTTTGTAGGATAGTGGGTAGAAGTCTTTAAAAAAAAAAGTTAAATAAAATTTAAATTACAAAAAACATTTAAATGGTAAATTATTACAAGTTCAGTTTCTTAATATTATAGAATATAGCGCTAATGAACTTTGTATTAGAAAATATGTAAACTATATTACAAAAGAAAACAACAATTATTCGATTCTTCCAAAAAAGGCTTTTTCTCGATGACATAATTTAATGATGTTCTTAAAAAAAAAAAAAATATGCGTAAATTCCCTGACGTGCTTCGGTTAATGCATTATTTTTTTTGCAAAACATACATTTTGAAATGCAAAGCAATGAATTGAATTTAAAATCTTCTAGAACAGCCCTCATATTTTTAAATTGTAAGAAACGGGGCTTCGCCAAAGAAATTGATTCCAAAAATAGACTCGGCAATTCAAAAATATTTTAAAAAACAAAAAAATTCTAGACACAAAAATTTAAAATATCATTCAATTCATGCGCAAGTGAATAAATATTCTTAACATAAAACCTTTGTATAGAAATAAAGTTGATGGCTTGGGATATGCGTAAACACACATCTGTATAGTGGCTTCAGTGTTTAACGCAACACCATATTGTGGATTTTTTTCCTGTGTTCTGCATAATGTTGGGCTGCCTGGGAAATTTGAAAATAATAACAGTGTTTCTCTTAGTCTCTTAAAACAAGGTATTGAAATAAAAGTTACTTATTTTTTTTTTTTAAATCATGAGGGTTATAAATTTACTTAAGGATTGATAATATATTAAATAAACTTTAAATGTCGTTCCACTTAAGTAATAAATGCATTGAAACAGATAAAACTCCTGCTGTTAAGCTTTATAATCTCACCCAATATTCAGTTTATTCCTTTTTAAAAAAAGCTGACATCAAACACACATATTTTCTTTCGAAAAATGCTATCGGGTAATGTAAGTTTTAGAGCTTATATACTGGGGAGTTCGAACATCCTCCCTGTAAATATGTGGGCAGCTTTTCCAGGCTGGATAGACTTTAGCTATTGTTCATTGACTTTTATTAGACGTAATATACTCATAAGAGCTTTTACGATGTTGAACCATGTTTGGTAATATTGATAGTTGTATCGTTTGAGAAGTATACCTTTTTCCTTTGCTGTTTAGTAAATTAATTTAGTTTTCATTATTTTATATTTGATTTTGTATTTTTAAAATGTAAATAAAACAGTTTAATGACAGGTAATAGTGTTAATATTACTAGCTTTGGTATCATTGTTCGTTGTATACTGGTTTTCAGTCCTTTGTTAAGTATTTTTTAATATATATTATATATACACACACATATATATATATATATATAATGAATAAAAAAACTAGCGAAATCTTAAATCAGAATAAATTTGCAAAAGCAAAATAATCATATAGTTATATACATTATAAAGGTTTTCGAAGCAGAACTAAAGCACAAGTAACCAACAAGGACTTTTTTAAAAATACGCTTCATTTCAAATACAGTTTCGTGTTTTCTGTTACAATAAAATTCGGTACTTACATCTTACTCTGAAATTTCTCATTAACGTATGAGGAGATTTGTTATGGATGTTGGACGCTGCACATATATATACACCACTGTCGTTACAGGAAGTCCTTATTGTGTGGCTAAGTTGATATCCAGTTTCCTAAAATCGATAATACATTTATTAGTGTTTCCCAATGTGGAGAATACACCACACGTGGTTTAAATTTGCGGATTATGAGGAAATTTAATTATATTTTAAATTTCAAAAGGGGTAGGGGCGTTTTAGACTGGTCAGGGTGACATTAAATCTCTAAAGGTACTTATATTAGGCATGGGCTAAAGAATTTCGGAGAAAAGAAACTAATGGACGTATTACGCTTTTTGGTGCAAATTTCTAGACTCGTCAGTGTTCGATTTTAAGTGAATTTGCTAACAAGGGTGATATGAGATTTCCCGGCATAGGATCAAAGTTCAACTGCTTGGTGAACAGAGTGGCGCTCGCTTATATTTATTGTCACCTGATTATTTCATATTCAAAATTATAATTTATACTTACCAAGAAATTCTAATTCTAATAAATAATAGAATTGTTTTAATTGTCTAAAATGTACATGAGTCGTTTCACTTTTGTTTAAAGAGCAGCCTGAAAAGCATTTTCTTTTATAATGGTATGGACCCTATGATAAATTTTATAAACGACAATAAAGATTGATTTCGGAAATCAACAGTGAAATATATATATATATATATATATATATATATATATATATATTATATCTCTATATATATATACAACATTTTCACTCTCATAATCTTATAAAAAAAAAATATAAATATATATTTTATAAAGGTATGGACACTATGATAAATTATATAAACAACAATAAATATTGATTTAGGAAAAAAAAAGTGAAATATATATATATATATATATATATATATATATATATATATTAAATTTCTGTAAATCTAAATACCAGTTTGACCATCTTAAACTTTTATAAAAAAAATATCAAAATATTTTACAGGTCGTCATTCACTATTGGTATATTTTTAAGGTAAACATTCATCCAGTTCTGAGAATGTCTTGGTGGACGCATTAAACGTTGAATCATGCAGCATGTGGCTGCAGGTTCCTTAACTCTGGTCTAGACTAGTAAAGTCTGTAGATGTTATTCTTCTCTTCGTTGATAACAATTTTTTAAAAAAAATATAAATGTTCTTAGTATTATAATCGAAATATAAGCTCGTTGTTTGAAAAAAAAGCTCTACAAACTATCTAACAAAAGGCAAATGCTATTTCATTAATAATTTTTTAAAATGTTCTAAAGCCATTTAGAATATTACAGGAAAGAAAGACAATAACAAATAAATACCCTATTAAGTAAGTGTTGAGCATCTGTGTAGTATAGAGACAGTGAAGGTGTGGGGTTTCCCGAAGCAGAACATGTCATCCGTAATTGTTGATTAGCATCAAACTCTAAGACATTTCCGTTTGAGACTGCGTTGGTGAAAGTTAACTCTTTGACTTTGGCTGGAGCTATACATAGATGAAGTTTTATTTTAAAAGAAAATAACTTACGAAAAAATAATTGTTATTACAAATACAACTTTAAAATTTTAATTCTAACCAGTTAATATGTATGTATGAGATATATTTATGAGAAATCATATAAAATCCTCGTTACCTATCACTGATAATCTCAGCGAGCTTTGAAGTCTGTAGAGATTTGATGTGTGGCTGGCTGAGCAGTTGCATGATTTGCTATCCATTTCCTCAGTTATAGCAACTCCCATGTTGGCTATGTTTCCATTGACAGTGACAAAGTTCAGGTCTCTAAAGGTATCTTTGATCTCTCGGTCACATGATATGGTTGTTGACCGTACAGGGGGAGACCCACCATTAACTGTACAAGTTACGGCGATGATGTCCCCCTCCTTGTATGCCTCATGATTGGGTAATTTAATCAGTTCGGGTGGTGACGTTGGCGGGTCTATTGGAAAAATTGGAAATATTTCGAATTTCGTCAAATATATCTACATTACTTTCACTTTAAACAACAAAAGTTATCGTTGAAAAGGACTCTGCATCGAATTTACCTAAGATAGCTTCACCAGAGCGGATTCTTTCCAAAAAAGGAAAGATCCCCCTACCCAAAAATTATATAAAATTATATATATATATATATATATAATATTTTTAAAAAATTGAATTTTATTTCTACAATAATCTTTGAGGATTTACAAAGGTGTGTGTATTGCTGTTATTAAATCAAATAATCATTCTTAATATCAATGTCATCTTCACATGCAGTGTCGTATTTACGTATACGCTAAATAAACTACAGTTTAGGGCCTCAAAATCTACTAGCTATATATTTATAATTTTTCTTTGACCACCTCATGTAATTTCAAATGGTAGGGCGCCTCTGCCATTTGTATAGCTTTAGGCTAAAATCTGCCCTGTTCACAGTGCTTCTTTCAGGCCGTTCTCCGCCGGGGTGGGGTGTATTGCTTTCCCCACGGAAAGTAACTGCCGATCCCCCCGAGAAAATGTGTTCAACATTTTTATTTAAAAAATAATTTAGGAACAGTAAGTGGTGCATCATTTAACCTATTAAAAGTAGTGGAGTATGAAATATTGCTACCCTCGATATATTTGATGAGCCTAATATTTAAAGCTAGCCTTTGTAACCTTACAGTATTTCACCATAAAAATTCGTAATGTTCCGCTAATTAGCCCATCATGATTATAAGGTGAAGTCTTAGTTCCTGTTGTTCACATATTATATCGATATTTTTAAAATTAATTTTTTTATATTAACCAAGTTTTTTTTTGTGTGGCTAACTGACTGAATGAGTGGCAAAATCTTTGAACGGCAAATTGGCCAATATTTCGTCAAGCTATTAAACTTAAACTTGGCCCCATGGACTTGTAGCCGTTGCCATCATAGTCCAAATTTTCAGCCCCCCGTCCGCCCCCAACACCAAACCCCTAAAAATCAGTTTTTACCGATTTTTAAGGGAAAGATAAAATAAAATTCCTAAAGACTGCGCTAGATCAAATACTTTTTTAAAAAAATATCACAAGTGTGCTTGATGCGTAATATTTTCTTTTGTCTTTTCTAAAAATTTTGGTGAAATAAATCTGTGGTGTAAAATCGGATGGGTCATTAATATATTAATATAGTCTAGGGGCGTGACAAAAATTTGCGTTTGTGAACCTGTGGTTTGTGGGGTGGGGGGGGGTCACTAAATTGGATTCTTGTGAAGTGCGTTACTTGTATGAAAGTATTGTCAAGTATTTTCAGCCCCGCCCCCTATTGCTCGATATTTATTTTTTATAAAAGAGTTCTACGAAAAACCTGTATTTTTAGCAGTTGTTTAATTATGTAGCTATTCCGTCGAGACTAACACATATATAATAAATTGTCGCAACTCTAGAGTTTTCCATTAAAGTCATTAAAATTAGAACCGTTAGGGACCCGTTCTACAGTGTGAATTTGTAATAATCTCTAAGATAGGAACACTAAATAATTTTAAGTTTACCGTTAAATTCGGATGAAGGATGCAACGAGAAATAGGGCATGTGAACAAAATAAAACTAATATTCCTTGTATCACAGATGTGAATGTTATGAGTTCAAAACCATCTATTTTTAAATATATTTGTTTCAAGTACATTTCGTATCAAGTTTCGATCTATTGTGTAAATTTATTTATATAGCGCAAAAAAATTACTTGAATCCCTTTATATATTTTACAGTTCTTAGTAGTTTAGTTTGGATAATGAACAAACGATATTAACATCGATTGACAAAAGTAAATCATTCCTCATTGATAAAAATCAGCTAATATCTTAAAAGTGATAATGAGTCTAAAGTGACTCAAACCAAATAGCTGGTAGTCCGGAGCCAACATCGCATCTTTATTATTGTTCGTCCGTCGAGGATCGACGAGGACCATCGAGTCGTCTGCTGACTGATGACTTGCGCGGGTGACTTTGTCTAAAGTGAAGAAGAGTTGCGCGGCGTCAACCTCACTCTCTCGTCCGGGCCCAACATATCCAGTGGCAAGACTCTACGTCAAGACGACCAGGGATGGGTTCGGTTGCAGGAATTGTGATTGTATGCGTCTAACGGGACTTCAATTCAGATTGTCCTTCTCTTAGATGAGAGAATTTCTTTGATTAACGGGTCTCATCCACCAGGGGTGATGTTTTTGCTTCACTGGCCTTTGGCTGGACTTGAACACCAGACAACCAACGTGATCAGTTTAGACCATTCGGCCACCCAGTCAGCAACGCATCTAAGAGATCTTGGGCCCTCAAACATACAAAATTTATGTTGAACAAGGTTGGTATAGATGCATCAATTTTGGTAGAAACTTTTATTGTAACATCGTAAAATGTAATTAAGATCACCATCAGTGTTTAAAAAAATCACAATTTGAAATAGGAAATGTATCTGGCTTGGCCATTTACATGCCGCTTTAGTACAATTTTGGTGAATTTTATGTTTTGGAGTACTGTATGGAGAGTGACGCTATGACATTGGCTTAATCTCCAATATATTAAAACATGCAAAAATTAGCAATGAAATTAAAATTTAAATAGAGAATGCAAGTGTTTCAAATGCGTTTCTATCCATATTTATCGTAGTTCGTCCATCGAGTGGGACGATATCAATTTCCATATCCAACGGAAAGTTCGCTGATAGCTTGTTTTTCCTCTTTTTACGCATAAAGCTTCCAACTTATAATAAATTATATGACAAAGATATTACAATGTACAATATAACTAAATACATTTACGAAATTATCTAGTGTTAAAAACCTAATGAAAATGTCTATATAATAATTGATAATTTAAATGCTACTCACCATGCACAGTGATGTTACAGCTAGTGCTTAATTTCACTAACTCCCCTGAAAATGTCCATTCACATGTCAATAAGCCATCATCACTTCTTTGAACTGATATGATTGTCAATGACATTGACAAGCTAGCGTCATTATCTCTTACAGACGACATGTAGCCGTCGGTTGTCTCACAATTGGTTGTGTTACATGAAGCAAGCACTTTCCTTGCACTGAACTCCGATCCAGTAGTTGGAAAACTTTTACCAATAACACATTCGATTTCGGGACTTGGTTGCCCCACCTGCACAAGTGGACATGTCATTGTAATGTGGGGCAGTGTGATATCTGTTGAGAGTATTTAAAGTGAAACGTGTTTTTACAAATACACAGACATTGATATAAAGAAGAAATATAATCAAGTAGGTTGATAGTACTAATCATTACTTACCTCCACATAATTATTTTTTTCTATTAAAAAATTAATTCAAAATGCAGGGATACATTTTGGCACCTACCGTAATTTAGTTTTTCATCGCAACATTATACCCTGTGCCTTATTAATTACTTATATTTTTGTTGCCTTTGACCAAAATCGCCCCTCCCCGTCAGATTTATAAAAAGAAAATAAACACCAGACCGTGGACATAATAATAATAGTAATAAAGATGATTTGAAAATCAAGCTCCATTCCCAAAGGCTCGAAGCTCGGTAAATACCACAATGAAGTACAAAATGCAACATTACAAAAACTACATACGAGAATACCCATTCTAAGTCTTTCATACTTTGCAACCATAAACAACACAGGCCTATATACATCTACAAGCTATTAGCCAGACAGACAAAATCACCCCAGCAGGTGTTTGCGAAAAAGATAAGTCTTCAAATCAGTTTTCAAAGACTCGAGTGTCTGGCTGTTTCTGAGAGCGACAGGAAGGGTGTTCCAAATTGCTGGGCCAGCAAATGCGAAAGTGCGCCCCTCGTAACGCAACCCATAAGCCAACCACACATTAAATGACCCTTGCAATGGCCCCTATTTAGGCTGGGTGGATGCACCTAAACAATAACATGTCTTTCATTAATCAATAAAGAGAGTGGCATATCATTAATGTGAAATGTAGGAAAGTTTTGTTGTTTTTTTGTTGCTTTACATTTATTGTTGTTTTTTCACTTGTCCTATCAAATGATATTTTTTCTTTGTATATTCTATACCCCAGCTGTTTAAAAAAACTACCGTCTCTCACAACCCTCCATCTGATGATTTCCATCTAAGGCAGTCGTCGGCAAATCGTGGCTTACGACTTGAGTGCGGCTCGGCCAGTCGCCCCAAAATTGGGCTGTACTCAGAAAAGCATGGTTCTTGACAGATTCTTGAAAATAAATTGGACTGTCAATTTTTTTTTTAAATCGTCCTGCTGCTGATTTCTGTCACTTTCCGCTAAAAAGTTTGCCGAGAAAATAACGATTTGTGTTGTTTCCAGGGTCAACAAAAGGTCCCTGCAACCACTACAGCTGAAAGGGGCCTTAGGTATTTAAAGGGCCCACATTTGTGGTATGGAAAAAAAGAATAAAACTATCAAATTTAAATGTTGAGGGCATCAAACTGAGAAGTTTCATGGGAGGGAGGGACTATCAAGGGATTTTATTGATACGCCAATTTAATACGTTTAGATCTTTAAATTAAAGATATTTAAAGCTGTAAAGAATAACTCAGATAATAATGCTTTTCCACTTTACACATGTTTTTTGGTGTTGTTTGTGTTGTTACATAATTCCTGATGAGAGTTAACATCAAATAATGTATTATTTTAAATTTTAGCACAACGCTTCAACTTGTTTTTTATGACACAGCCGATGGGTTCAAGGAACTCATGTGATGTCCTTTTTAATCGTTAACAACTCAGGCCGAACTTTGTAGTTCTTTCAACTTTTCCCGTGATCACATGACGTCAGTCGTTTAAAGCCAACCTTTGAGGATAACCATTCCAGACAAAATGTTCGATGTGTATTATTTCT